GCAGGAAAAAAGTCCTGCAATCTGAAATTTACTGGCAGCAAGTGTGCTGGAATCTGACTAGAGAAGGAAATACATCACAATATACCTTTCGGGAAAGTTGTTTGGAATATGGCCAAATAAAGATTTAGTGAAGCAACATGCGACCAAATGTGACCCTGGAGCACAAAACCAATCTCAAGTCACTGGGGTATATTTGTAGCAGCAGCCAACAATACATTGTATGGGTCAAAATTATTGATTTTTCTTTTATGCCAAAAATCATTAGGATATCAAGTAAAGATCATGTTCCATGAAGATATTTTGTAAATTTCCTACTGTAAATATATCAAAACTACATTTTTGATTAGTAATATGCATTGCTAAGAACTTCATTTGGACAACTTTAAAGATGATTTTCTCAATATTTAGATTTTTTTGCACCCTCAGATTCCAGATTTTCAAATAGTTGTATCTCGACCAAAAATTGTAACAAACCATACATCAATTGAAGGCTTATTTATTCAGCTTTGAGATGATGTATAAATCTCAATTTCAAAAAATTGACCCTTATGACTGGTTTTGTGGTCCAGGGTCACATTTGCAACTGTGCGGCATTTTTAGCACTGTAATGAAGTGTATGTGAGCAGTCACCTGTCGAGGGAGCGCGAGCTGAACTCCTCTCCTCCGGCCGAAGGGCTCAGGTAGATCTCCATGGCATCTTCAGCCGCAGTGCACGGCGAGGACGACGGCAGATACACAGCCGTCCACAACTGCAGCGCTCGCGTGTGACAGACCGGCTGCAAAACCTGCCAACATCACCACAACAACAACCCAACATCTGCATTAAACCAGAGAATCAATACAGAAACTAATCACAATAGATGAGGAACAAACCGTGTGGATTTCTTTTAAACAGGGTTCTCACAGTCACAGAAAACCTTAACATATCTGTGAATTTATAATAGAGAATTCCAGTCTGGAAGACGCACAGAAATAAACAAAACCTTCAAAAGTTATGGAAATTTCTCTGGTACACAAATTGTTTTTGTTAATTGGCTAAAATTGCTTTTTTAGAGTCTATAGTTGAAAGCTTATTATTAATCAAAATGTGCATGAATCTTGTTGAAAGTAACTGTGATTAGACATTAGTCGTGTGTAGCTAGGACACTGTTAGAATAACTATAGCACATCTATCATTTATTATAGTTAACTAATACTAAAACCATTAAAGAACATTTCCATTACTTGACATAAAAATATAAAATTTTATTTTATTTCAGCTAGTTGCCAAGGCAAAATAAATAAATAACTGAAATAAAAATTAATAAAAACTGTATAGGCATAAAAAAAACCCTAATACAATTAGAAGTAAAATTGCTTAAATTAAAATGGAAAAAAAAGAAAATCTAATTAAAAATATTAATAGAAACTATAATAGTATCTATAAATAACACTGTATTTACTGGGCATTACATAAAGCACAACAATTGAGAACAAGTTTAATGTGTCTTTTAAACAGGATTCTCACAGTCACAGAAAACATTTAAACATCTGTGATTTTTAAAATAGAAATTTCCAATCTGGAAAAGACAGAGACATTAACTAAATCATAAAAAGTTATGGAAATTTCTATAGTAAATATAAACCGTTTTTGTTCAGCTCTAAAACACCTAATTGGCTAAAACTGTTTTTGGTAACACTTCAGTATAGGGTCCAAGGGTCTCACTATTAACTAGTTACTTATTAGCATGTCTATTATTAACATACTGGCTGTTTATCAGTGCTTATAAAGCACATATTGTGCATGACCATATTCTACATCCCTAATCCTCGCCAATACCCTAACCTTAACAACTACCTTACTAACTATTAATAAGCAGCAAATTAGGAGTTTATTAAGGCAAAAGTCATAGTTAATGGCGAGAACTGGACCTTAAAATAAAGCATGAATCCTCTCTGAAACAATCAAAAGGCGTGTGAGCCCTGGTTTTGTAGTAACTGTACGTGTGCTGACCGTATCATGGCAGGGGATGTAGAGGAAGTTCTGGAAGTTCTTGTTGGCGTTTCGGAGGAGCGACCAGACGGAGCAGGTGCATTTATACACGTTACGGGCCTCGCGCTCTTTCGCGTTATTGCACAGGAAGGTGCCATACAGACAGGAGTAAGTGTGCTGAACCAGCTTCACCTGCATGAACAACAGAACAAATACTGAGTTCATCTGCATCAACATCTGGATGAGACCTACAGATTATATGTGACCCTGCAGCACAAAAGCAGTCTTAAGTCGCTGGGGTATATTTGTAGCAATAGCCAACAATACACTGTATGGGTCAAAATGATTGATTTTTCATTTATGCCAAAAATCATTAGGATATTAAGTAAAGATCATGTTCCAGATATTTTGTAAATTTCCTACTGTAAATATATTACAACTAAATTTTTGATTAGTAATATGCATTGCTAAGAACTTAATTTGGACAACTTTAAAGATGATTTTCTCAATATTTAGATTTTTTTGCACCCTCAGATTCCAGATTTTCAAATAGTCGTATCTCAGCCAAATATTCTCCTAATAAACCATACATTAATGGAAAGCGTATTTATTCAGCTTTCAGATGAGGTATAAATCTCAATTTTGAAAAATTGACACTTAAGACTGGTTTTGTGGTGCAGGGTCACATATACTGTTGCATAGAATTACTCCATTTATCTCAGATTTATGTGTAAAATTGTTAAAAAATATATACAGGGACATTTAAATGTCGAGGCGCAAGTTATGGAAACATTATATATCAAGAAAGGAAGTATAACTCAAATTTGTTAGCCTTAGACATTCATAAGATCAGCAGCTGAAACAAAATATCAGTTTTTGAAAACACTGAAATACATTTAAAAAAAAAAGAAAGTAGTTACATTATTCAAGTAAAGCAAACTTAATGTTTAATAAAAACATTGAATGCTTTATAAAAATAAGGTTTTTTTCCTAAAAAAAAAGAGCATTATTTAATATTTTATAAAAAATTGTTTTTTAATCTTTATAAATAAAACTTTGCTTTTTGTTTAATAAAAATACTGATGCCTCGTTTTTTAGTATTTCAACTAAAACTAAATGAAAACGAGAAATGTTGCCCTGGCAACTAGATTTCATATTTTATAGATAATATAGATATTTTTATTTAAATATTTAATAAATACATAAATAAAATATATACAATTTAAACAATATAGTATAATATATATACAATATATAAAGATATCAATATTTTATTTTAGTTAACATCTATTTTATTTCAAGTAATGAAAATGTGTTAGCAAAATATTTAGCTAAAAAAAGCATTCTTTAATATTTTATTACAAATTATTTAATGCTTTATAAAAAAAAGATTTTGCTTTTTGTTTAATAAAAATACTGATGAAATCTATTCTAGAAATATAAATATTTTGCTAAATATTTTACTTGCAGGGCAAGTAAAGCAAACGATACATTATAAAAAAAAAAAAAAACATTGAAAAACACTGTTTTTGTTTAATAAACTATTATACATATATATATATAGTATATTCTTAGGCCTATCTGTTTATTAAACTAAAGTTTTGGCCATCATCCAAATGGAAAAGAAATATATGAGGTCAAAAAAAACATTATCCAATAATGTCAGTTTTTTTCAATCACTAAAACACTGAAATTCATTTTAAAAAAGAAACAGTAGTTTCACTATTCAACACAAAAAGAGGATTTAAAATATGACTTTTTTCTCCAACATTAATAAAAAAAAAAACACAGAATATGCATTCAAAAATCAGTCATAATACACAAGATATTTCCTTTTTACTAAATCGTACACGTTATATCGACACACATAAATGAAAGCAAAGGCTCCGCACCAGAAAGGCCTCGTTGAACTCGAAGAGGCAGGGGAACTGCTTGAGGAGCTGATGAACACAGTCCAGCCACTGCAGGAACACGGGACACTGTTCACTCACATCCTCACCGCTCTCCTGATGACCGCAGCGGTCCGCAAACTTATGACCGTAATCCAGCCACTCCGTCTCCACCAGCACCTGAAAACCCTGCAGACACAATCAGACATGAGCCTGACAGGCAAATGCAAAGGAGGCTGAGAAGCTGCATCTGAAGTGGCTTTTAGATTAATTTACACACTGTTTAATGCGGCTCAGAGGTGGCATGAATGCATTTACACTGCATAAATAAACCGCCTTTGATTCTAGGAAGAGTGTTATTTTAGTATAATTTACGTACTATTATGGTTTTTGTTAATATCTTGAATTAGATTGTTTATATTTTCTGCTTTCACTTAAATGTTAGTTAAAGTTTTAGCAATTTTGTTGTGTTTTTGTCATTTTTTAGTATTTATTCATTTTTATTTATTAATTATAGTATTCATTTAGTTTACTATTTCAGTACTTTTATGAGTTGCCCTGCCAACTAGATGAAATAAGTATTAAATATTAATAAATTATATATA